GACATAATCCAAGCACAAATGATTTTATTATATACATAGTACATACACATATCTTTATTTTAATTTATAAGGGTTGCCATAAAGAAATAAAATTCGCGAAATCAAATCTTGTAATTTTTCGAAATAATGTTCGAAAAATTTTTAACTGCTCTTATAAAACAACGTTCGAGACTGGATTTGGCCTTCTTTAAATCAACCACCAAGTAGCAATCGGAGTTACAAATCCATTCCAATTGTTGTTGTTTTTCTTATTTCTTCTAGAACGTGTTCGCAATTTTTTTTTAATTTATTGTTATTATTATAGTACCACAACTACCACGGTAATCCTTGCATTTCATATACTGTGATGCGTCTCAAATAATTTATTTTAAAGAAAGAAAATTTCGGATAAGTTATTACTATTAGTGTTAGAAAAAATCTTGCAGACAACTCTCGTTCTTATATTAGAAATTTTGTTAGATTACGTAAAACTACAAATATTTAGCTAAGGTGTAAGTTTACTGCAAAAATAGTCAAAAGTTACTACTTTTATACTATAAAAAATCATAAACAAATGATTATCATAAAAAAAAGAAAAACTCAGCGCAATTGTCAACCTTTCTTAATATTTACTTGTGAGCTTGTGACTTTCAAACTAAGTGGTCCTACAATTTCGTCTGTAGATTCTCGACTGGGTGTGTTAAAAAACAAACAACTTCGGGCCTGTCCTTTTTTATTTCGTTTATAAATAATCAATGTCAAATACATCATAATGTTTCCTCGAATTAGTTATCAAAAATTTGCTCCACTGGAACCTTAGCTAGCAAATTATTGAACAAAGCCGCAAAGACTTGTCCAAAAGCATCTTCGTAACTAGCCTTTACATCCTCAAAAACTTCCTTCCAGTTTTCATTCATAACTCGCAAAACATTATCGCCTAACACTTTATCACCATTGAACAAATTTTCCAAATTGAACGTAATCCGTCCTGGCTCCATCGTAATTTTCGTACTTACAACTTTAAAATGCGTCTTATTCTTTTTTTCGTACTCTTCAAAGTGAAAAGTGAAGGTTTCATTCAGGTTCTCTACAAACAAATATTTTTATATTCGTTTTTATTCAATTTTTTTTACGTACCTAGAGTTATTGAACCTGGACCTTTTCCGAAAATCGGCAATAACAAAATTCTTCCGCTGATTGCGTAATAAAACTCCATTTTATTCAAGGGGGTTGTGCAACCAACAACAATCGTCCTTTTCTCGAAATCGATTCTAAAAACAGGTTTGGAGAACTTTTCAACAATAATAATTGTACTTACTCAGCTTTGGGGCAATTAATTTTATCAAAACCCCACACTGTCACATTTTTGTACTTTTGCTGGAAGGCCACGGTTCCCTGTCCAGCTTCGATCGTCAGTGCTGGAATTTGCAACGGATTCAGACTTGGCAGACCTACTTCTTTGTATGGTTTGTTTAAATTTCTAACTGCGTCTTCGATAGCGTTGCTTAAGCAAACATTGAAGCCGTTTTCATTTCTGTTGCATTTTTTAAATGTGGGGGCTAAAAATCCCTGATTGTTAGGAGACGTGAACTCATGAAAAAGTATAAAGGACTTACGCAATCGTGCGCTGTGGCAAACTGTTGTTATTAGAACACAAGCAAAAAACACAAAATTCTTCATTTTTTTAAGGTAAACTAAATTCTGTTGCCAGGTATTCTGGACGCAGTTGGAATACGTTTGGTTGGATCGGTATGTGCAACTGATTCGAATTTAGGGAAAAATTACTTGTTGCAGTCATTAAATGTTCATCAATCGTAATTGTCTACATATTTAAATGACTGGTTGTGAAAAGTTTTCTCTTACATGACTTAAATTGTTATCATTTTCTAGTCTAATTTGATATTTTCTAATTACTAATGTTTCCTTCAAAAATAAATTATTTTAAAATAACTAAAAACAAAAGTTAAAAGGTTGTCAAGTGAAATCAACAAAATACTACACTTCCAGGACACATATTTTTAAAAGAACCCAATTTTTCTCTTAGAACCTATCTTACATTTGATAAATCGTTAATTAGCATTTCTACCAAAAATTTGATGATGTTAAATTTTTTTTAAGTAAAATGCGGCAAAAGCAAGGCGCTCAAATGATTATTGATTAATATCTAAATATGTGACGTGGTCAGAAACGTTATTTTTTTTAATTTCCTTTTTTCCTTTCATTTTAGACATTACATATTATGTCCTAGTTTTCTTTCGATATTTGTCTGTTTGCATTTCTATTTTTAATCTTTTTTAATATTCATTTCGTTATTTACGTTTATTGTGTGACGTTCTTAACTATTATGGTCTCATTTTTTTTTTAGTAAGTAAAATCGAATCACATCTGTGGAGTTATAATTAGATCATTAATTAATAGTGAATTAGGTTCTAATCTTGACTGGACTTCTTGCATTGTTTAATTCTAAAAGAAATGAACCTAATTTATTAGCTGGCAATGTGACAACTTCCATTCCATTTCTGAACTCGCGAAGTCAGGTTTTTAGTTATCTGCGCATTCTCTATTTATATATAAAAAAAAATGTGGACATATTGAAAATTAATTAAAACGTTGACAATTTTTGTATTTTTAAAATTTTGATTATTTCCTGCAAAAAATTGATCCAGTCAAATCATTTATATTTTCGTATGACAACCAATTAGAATTGAGTTTCAACGATAATTTTACACTAGCGCAAATTATCGATAAGTTGCAATCGTGGAAAATTATCAGATTTGGCATTTACTTGAAAATGATAAATAATAAAAAAAAAGATTTATTTACAAAAGGTAGGTTTCATTTTTGAAGGGTATAGTTGGGAGCACGGAATAATGCATGCGTTAATTTTCCTAGCTTCATTAATGATGGATATACAGAGGCCAAAATTCCACTTTTGTTCTATACCAGTAAATATTAGAAACGTAATAGTTTACCCATAAGAAAAACAGTCAAAGTCAACTGTAAATTTCTCAAACAGTTTTCTAATGTTATATAATCTCATTATGTTATAAAATTCGATGCGGGATCGCGGGTCGTTTCATTTTTTTTTTGTTGTCAGTATGATTTTATCATTACTTGATAAACTACCACTTATTGATTCCTGTCTTGTCTGAAGGGCGATCAGCGAGAGCTTGATGAGTTTGTCGTATTTCCTGTACCTGAAACTTCATTTCAATGTAGCAAACATTCCTATTTCTACACAAAGTAGTATTTGTTTTAGGGATTTTAAACAGATAACTCCCGCTCTCTTAGAAAACGATTACCTGGAAATATATAATAAAAACACAAGCAATAAATTAAAACATTTTCTCTGAAAGTAGGGTTAACTTTAGTGAACTGCGCATTATTGACTGGAATGGCTCCAGTCTGGTTCTTGCCTGACATTTTAGAGTTATGCTGCTTTATCGAGAATGAATCTTTATTAAAACCCTCCTGGTGAGGTTAGTGTAATATTATTTATATATTGTAAAGAATAAGTATTAGAACAAATGGGGCAACTTAAATCAACTACCAGGTTAGAATTAAGCATAATTACTTTAAAATTACGAGATAATTTGTGATTTTAGTGTGAGTACACAAACAGAAGGATCTATAGTAAGTAACAATATTGTTGTAAATCGTACCTCTAAATGTAGTGGATAATATTAGTTTCAGTTGTATTACTTAAGTTTCTTCCTTGTCATAGTTTCCTAGACTTTAAAGAAAGAAGAGGATCAAAATATCTTTGCTCCATTAGAACTTAGAGGTTCAAGGTATTAGGTACGAATATACAAAATGAATAAACTCTGATTCTCTTTGGCTTGAATTAAAAAAAGAAAAACAAACAAACTAATGATAATAACACATCAAAACAGACGCTCAAGTAAGTAAATTCAGCTATAAATAAAATCATAACCTGATAACAAAACTATCTTCGTCGTTGAGTAACATACCTATATATTCCTTCATAAGTATTTTGATGGCTAAAGCTGATTCGGGATATCAATGTAATAACACAAGCAGTGACATAGTAAAAAAAAGTACATGAATCAAAATTTATACGGCGCGAAACATTATTTTTAACAGAAAGAATAATAATTTTTGGAAGAGGCCCTGCTGTAGTTAAAAAATAATAATTCAAGAGCGTCGAATAACTTAACTTTTGAGACTTAAAAAAAAATCAGAGCAACACTAAGTGGTCCATTGTCCTCTATTCTACAAAGTTTTGTTCTAATGTGCCTCATAAAGTGCTGGATATTTAGATCAAATGCCTACCTACTGTGGCACACCATACCAAAATTTTATCTTCAAATTTTATTTCGCTTCCGCATAAAATCCCTCATTAACCTTCGTTTCTGAATGGGATAATTTGAAATATTTTTCATCATTCATGATGATCCCTTTGTCCCAAAACCTATACGTTATGTTGTGCTAATTTGCACTACTGCATTTCAAGATTAGATAATAACACTTGTATTTGTCTATTGTATCTTGTCGTGAAACTGAAGAAGAAAAAGCTATTAGAATTAACAGAGGAAAGTTACTTTCTTGTCTGTTGTGGTATACTTTTGTATTTAATTTAACAAGGTTGCACTATTTAATATGTAGTTAAAATTAAATATTGTTACGATGTACCCAACAATTTATTTCTTAATAGCTCGCGTTGTACACTAACTTTTACAATGATTATGTACAGAATAACTCCGTGGTCCACTCGACTTGCTGACTTAACATTCGCTGGACTCGCGGTTCGACTGAATTCCCCGCTCCCGACGGTGGCCTCTATTTAAACTCGTATTCCCTTCTCGATGTTTCCTAATCGAGGTCTTTCTGGAATCCATCGCGACTTCCGTTTCTAGGCCTTTCCTTAGCGAACGCCGCTTCGAGCGTTTTTCTGGACGCCGCAATCGAGACTTCCGGTAATCCGGGGCGGCGTCTGGGTTTATTTCGTAACAATATTCTGTGTAAATACATATTCGTACTAATCTTGTTATTTTTTGCAGACAAAGTGCGCTATGGTTCCAGATTTTATCCTTACAGAAGATGAAGTTTTAGTAGATGTAATAATTATCCCAGAACAGCAGATTTTATGCCAAGCCGAACAGGTTGTTACCCAACAACCCAGAAAAAATGATAAATTAAGTGAAGGCAACTGTTGTATTTACTACACCTGTGACAGTAGGGACTACATATTGAATCTTTGTTGTAATTTCCACAGTGGATGTTGTAACTGCGATTGTGGAAAGTGTGGTGACTGCGACTGCGACTGCGACTGTGGAAAGTGTGGTGATTGCGACTGCGACTGTGATTGTGACTGTGATTGCGACTGTGAATAATTGTAAAGGTTTTTTAATTCGGTAATAAACCAACACAGAGTTTCAAAAAAGTTCATTTTCATTTAAAATTCTTGCCTACGTGTAACTATTGCAAAGTAAACTGAAGTTTTGGCGGACTTTTAGTAAAAAAGTTTGATGACAATTCACACAAGCATTTTTTAATTGTGCACAGGGTGTTTTTGAGAGGTATGTAAAAAAAGAAACGGGAAATTCGACATGAGAAGCACAGATCATAAACTCAAAATCACCTTAATAAAAAATGTTCTTTCGTTTTTGAAGTAAAATTCGCTAAAAAACTACTTATCACAATTTTGTGTGTGCTACTGATTTATGGCAATTCGTTGGTTGTTAAAAAAAAATTGCGGCGGGCTAATTTTACTTTCAAGGTAAAAAATGTGAATCGTAGTTCAACAGAAAGTTTCAGGTGAACAATTTTTGATGTTCTTTTTCCAAAGTTCTTTCAAAAAGGATTTATAAAAAGAAAGCAAGGTTGTAGTAAAAATGCTAAAATGATGAACATGCTCCGTCGGACCGAGCCCGTATTTCTGTTTTCTAAATTAGGCAACCCACAATGCAAACACTATGGAGAGAGTTAGACAGCTGTCAATCACTAGGCAGGTAAGCTGATCGACCGTTTGGGACCTTCATAAAAGTTTATTTATTAGAAGAAAAGATTAAAGAGATACAAGTCTCACGACTACAGACGAGATTTTAAGAAAAATGCGTCAAATCCTGTCTCTGCTCATAGTACGTACCATGTTTTTCAGAAAAAGGCGGGAAGAGCAAGTATTAATTATTAATGACTATACAGGGTCGCTAGAACCGGTTAAATATCTTGAGAACCAATTGTACAAATCAACTGAAATTAGGTATAAGGGTTACACTACCATAAAATTCAAGCATTTCTGAATAGTTTTTTTTTCTGAACTAGCTCTTACCACGTGTGTACATTCACAAAACCATAATCAGACTGACGCTCCGCCATGCCGTCCTCTGTCTAACCACCAACCCTCTAACTAAAATCCCTAGCGCTACTAATTGTCCAACTATCCAGCAAGCGTTACCGTGCACCTGGTTGCCTATGTTTAACGATTTTTTTTTAATGAAATTTTTGTTTCTTTCTCAAATTCAAATTATTCAAATGTGATTTTGCGCTGCTATTAATTTCAGCGCGAAAATTTTGATTTAAATTCGGTCATGACAAGATCAAAAATATTTATTTACGAAAGTAAATTTAACTTAGCTTAAGTTAAGGAAATGATTCCACTTTATAAGTTGTCCTACAGGTCGTTTTCGGAGTGAGTGGCGCATGCCGGTGTCAGGAATTGGTCGAATTAAGAATAGACAATATTGAAAATGTTAAATCCGGTTTACTCGTAACGATTCCTCATTACCGTTATGGGGAAAAATATTTTAATATTTACTAGAAATATATAGCTCTTGGACAAAAACATTTTTATGAACTTCGATTTTTCGTTAAATACTTAAATGGAAAGTGTCAGCGACAAGTAGTTGGGACTCACAAAATTAGCGATGCTCTACGAGAAGTAGCTAAATTTTTAAAACTGGAAAATCCCAATGAATATAACGGAGATTGTTTACGTCGCACGTCTGTCAGTCTCCTTGTAGATGCTGGATGTTATATATCTCTCAAGAGACACGGAGGGTGGAAATCGAATAGTGTAGCGTGTACATAGACGAATCAGTGAAACACAAGGAACATTGGACGCGAACATTTTTTTGGTTAGATGAAGCGAGTACAAGTGGAGTGATTCCTCAAAAACCACCGAAGAGAGTAACGAAGTAAATATTACCAAAGACGTAACTGACAATGAAATAGCAGCAACATTGACAAACATTGTTAACACTGCTATTACAAGGGATAATATTGACGGCAAATCGTTAATCCAATTTTCTGAAAGTTGTTCTAATTTTACATTTAATATCAATTTTAAAATTTAGAAATTATGTAATCTGTTTAATTATTAACAAAGACAACGTTATTAATATTTTCAAAATCGACGAAAAAATATAGTTTGAGATTAATTATCATTTGTTTTAAATCCTAGGACTAAAAGTAAATGTTGCCTTAGTAACGCAAGTGTTTTTTCTTAATTACAAAAACGTCTACTTTTAGTGTTGAAATTGTCATTCAAAGTGTTATGCTTTACGACGGCTGGAGAAAAACACATTTTTCCCATTATTTAAAAAAAGATAGATTTTTTTAAATCGGACACTTAATTTGAGAGACAAAATGCGGAGGGGGCAATTTTTTTTTTTTAGAGAGATATATACAATGAAAACAGTTTTATATGGGTGTCTGAGATGGCTGATTTATTAATTTTTATTTTTGCATACCTTTTAAAAACGCCTCGTATTGAAATTATTTGCTCTGATTTGTTTATGTTTTTCTAAACATTATTGTTACATTTTTTTTGTAAAAATTTGTATATTATTGTTTAGACTAAAATTACTTACAAGTTGCCGTAAAGTATGGTTAGCTTGGTCTCCATATTTTATTTCAACGATTTTACTTTAAAGGTATCTTTAATGTAAAGAAAGTAATGAAATAAGTATTGAAAGTAAAATGTTTGTTTTATTAATCCAGAAAACGGGAAAAATACGTACGTACATACTGTTACGTTGATTGATAGTAGTAATACTCAACAATGTATTTCTTAGTTACCCCAATGTACGCAACTAATTACACAGGAATTATATACAGAATAATTCCGACTGGAATGGATTTGATTAGACTCTACTTCTCCCACTCTGGACTTCACTTGTTGGCTGAGACTGACTCGTTCCCGAAGGTGGCCTCACTTTAAACCCATGCTTCCTTTCTAGATGTTCTGTGATAGAAGTTTTCTGGAAAACCCATCTCCCCAAAAATTGATGACGTCATCTCAAAATTTTGGCAAATAAATCCTATCTAAAATGTGCAAAATATGATGAGTCCATACTTGCGATGTATTTTTGGATTCATATTTTTTGGAATTGCTTATACAGGGTGCCTCAACAAAATTAATTAATGAGTCAATTTATTTTAGTGATCGTATCGGCTCATTTCATTTTTATTGGGAGTATAACATTGTTTTTATTAATATTACATGCATCTAACCAAATTGATAACTTGTTGTGAATGTTCTTACAAAAATATTAACGAGGTCATCACATGTTGTAAAGGAGAAACTCATCTGAAACATACGCGTAGCACGTTTCTTTGCATTTCATTGCAAAATTCAATTTTATAATTCTCTCTATCTAATATATTATGAAAAAATAACCCCATACGATTTAGCGGAACTATTTTTTATTGCCTTAGAAAAAAAGGTAAGAAAAGGGATAAGGTACAGTTGAATTTTAGAACTGCTGAAGGTTTTTGTTAGGAGAATCCTGAATCCTAAGCAGATCTCACAGGTCAACCAGGGGCAAATTTTAGTAGAAATGAATTTTTTAAACAAATAAATTCAAGCGTTTTACCTAGTTATCTCTTTTAAGACAACGACGCAAGTGACCGAAGTGCATTCTTAGAAAATTCTATCCCTCCTATTCCCAATCCGTCAAAACGAAAAACATAGGAGTATTTGAGAAACGAACAAAATCTGAAAATTGAAATGAACCGCTAAAAAGAGAAAAGAGAGCAGACTGATATGAAAGATGTTTGCAATAATTAGTCTGTTATAATAACTTCCGTTTTGTTTTATGTTCAAAAAGTCAATTACGCAACCGTAGGATTTATCACATCATTTTATCTTTTAGTATACCTAACCCCAATTTGAGCTACCAAATTACAAAAATTTGGCAAAAATTCCTTGAGTGCCCCTAGTTTATTCAGATATTTTTGTTTATTATAGTAATCTTTGGAAGATGATATGTATATATTATTATTTCAACACAATTAGTGTGTATTGTTGGTTCTTAAAAATGTATTGGTTTTCTGAAGAAGTTGATAGACAGGTATATCAATTGCAATTTATTATAAAATCATAGCAATTTTTCTCAAATTTGCTTATCTTTATGTTTTGCCGTTTTTTTATAAAGTAATGTTTCAACATTTAAGTACTTATTTGAAATGTTGTCTTGGTTTTTACTAGTATTATAGCTAAACAATGATAACTCTAACAGAGAATTTTGTATTGTACTAACCATTAAATTTCTTCGTTACGTGATATATGAGGTTAGTACGTGTTAGATTCGGTTCTGTTATTTTATTTTGTTTTATATCATAAGTAATAATGCGTAACAGAATTAATTGAAAACTTTTTTCATACCTACTGTAAATACTGACTTTGTGGTGCTTATATTTTTTGAATACTTATTTAATAATTAAACATACACAACTATTTCATTACGTGGGCAGCACCTTAACCTTAAATTACATTACCTACACTGATTCACACAAAGGTTGAGAGATAGAAATTTAATTGTAATTGTTTGTAGATGAAATGTGACTAACAAAAAACATGTTCAAGTTGGCGTTGCGCGGACCACACACAACGTGGAATAGAAAAAATAGATTTTTGCTGAAAGAGCAGAATTATAAATACCTACGCGTGCGACGTCGGCGTTATGGTAACTTAAAAATCTCTTACAAAAATCATTACTTTATTAAACCACTCATACATACATTTCGATGTTCAACAAAAAGTAAAAGTAAAAACACTATTTTAAATGTAGCCTCTCCTTATACTCGTTAAGTTCCTTGACCATCTCCTGAATCTTCTCGCTCCTAAAACACACCATTTACTCACTACCACACAAAATCCTTACACTTACGTCTCCTTTAAATTATTCTTAATCGTGTTCGAATGCGTTTCACTCATCTGAGACACTTTCCTTTCTTCCTGAGCCTTCCAGTTCGCAATCTGTATCTTCTGGTACTTCACCTTCATTTTCAACTTCTCGATTGACGTCTTGTACTTCTCAATTTTGTCTCTATACAGCTCCAACTCCTTCAAGTACTCCTTCTCAGAATCCGACGGTTCGGCTCCCTTCTGAGACACCACCACCAACAACTTCTCACACCTCTTCATCATTTCGTCTTGCTTATCTTTAATATCTTCGTACTTCTCGGCCAAATTTTCAGCTTTTTCTCTTAGTGCATGTTTTTCGGCGTTCATGTTATCAATTTGCTTCAGTTGGAACTCCTTCATCATTTGAAGGGCTTTAACTCGCTTTTCGATTTCTTCACGCGCACGCGCGTGGTTTTCGAAGTACTCCCGGAAGACTTGGGAGGCTCTTTGCAACAACTAAACATAAACATGATTAAAACATGTTGCAATAAATAAGCTAAATGGTACTTAAAACTATTATCTTATGGTCTAAAGTCAGTTTAATGTATATACAAACATCTTAGAATATTTTAAAAAAGTAAGAAATTTACGTTAAATAAAAATCTGTCCTAACTCTGCAGAATTATAATTAATTCAAGGTATTTCTCTAGTACAACAAAAAAACAGTAACTAACCTCGTAACATTCCTTCTGTGAATGCTTCCCTTCACCTCCCAGTTTTAAGATGGGCTGATTTGATGATCTTCGCAGCAATTTCTGGATGTTGTGGTCGAAAGGATCACGCAGCATTTTTTTGAGTGGGGAAGGGACGTCACCTTTCTTATCCTCGACTTCTAGTTCTTCGATCGTTGGTAAAATTTCAGCGGTTAGGATTCCTAAGCTTAGCAGGTTGCCGTCTGCTAGAATAGCGATTAGCGATGTGGGTTCGTAGTAGAGAGCGAAGCCTATTATCGGGTTTGTGTTCTCAGATGCCGAGGTTTTGGTGCAGACGAGGTACTCAGCTTTGCTTTCTTGGTTGAAAATGTCATCCATAGGTTGGTTCTCTGAAATTTTGGTAATTTTTCAATAAAGTAAATTTCCAAAAATTTTATACAATATTGAAATATGTAATTAGAATTCAGATTTTAAACAGGTTTTTTTAAAGTAAGAAATACATGAAAGGAAGACGTCTCAGTAGTGGATTTTGCATTAAACAAGAATTATGGGCCAATATTTTCTAAAACTGAAGTACAATTTAGCCGCAAAATTTTAAGTGATGTTACGTGTGTACGAAATAACTTAGTTCAGCTCAACACAGGTGGTTTGAATGGCTCTTTTTAGGGAAACTGATTTTTCTTGGCGAAAATTTGACAGATTTTCTTAAATTTTACATGTTGGTTGGCGAAGAGAGTGAAAGATAGTCTTGGCACTCCTGTCAACAGCACTTTGTATAAAGAAAAACAAATTTCAGATAACTTTTTACTCCTCAAACGATAAAATATTCATTTTGATTAACGTTTGATTTTATGATTTTTGACGTTTCACAGCTTGTGGACTAAAAACTGTAGGTTTCACGTTTTCATTTGTCCGCCTATTGAAACCTTCTTGTATAACAATCAAAGAATGTATTTTATATTTGTCTCTTTTATTAAGTAAATCTCGGATTTTCAATTTCACTACACATATTTAAAGATGACGGTCACCTTTACAAACGTATAAAGAATTGAAAGTGTTTTAGTTTATTTATACAGGGCGAAAATATTTGCAAAATATTGGTTTTCCCATATTTTTCACATGGGACACCTGTACTTTGAAACATTTTCGAACTTATTTTTTCGACATCAAATTTGTTGTTGTTGATTTTGGAACTAAGTATTTCAAGAATAAACACCAACAAGCCGGGTAAAAAAAAGCCTACTACAGCCAAGTTAGAATATATAAAAATTGGTCTAAGGTTACTTCGACCTCTCGCTGTTGAACTACAGTCCAACAAATTCCGTTTCTTTGAAAAATTATAATACATTTTTGTTTTGTGATAATATTTGTATATTAAAAACCAATGGTTTAATGACACTTGTAACCCCCTGCGCAGACATACGGACAATATGAAAATTTATTCATAGCAAATAACCAACGGAAAAGAGTGTATTATTATCAGTGTATATGCTTAACTTAGATTGTTTATGTTTATACATCGAAAGAATGTCACGTAAAAATTTGTTTAATTTGAATGAGTTGTCTCCTCAAAACAGAGGACTAAAATGATTAATTAAGCCAAAATGGAAAATAATGTTTTGAATATGATTATTATTATTCTTATATGACGAATAAAAATTTGTTGGAGGATATAAGTATAATCCGACAAATCCAGCTGTTTAAAAAAATTATAAAATTTGATTTTACCATTTTAATTTTGTGATAATCGCTGTAAAGTAAAAACCAGAGGCATAAATAACACCCCCGCAGCCCCTGCGCCATACGGCCATTGTAAAATACATATATTTAAAACACAGAATTAACGGGATAAAATGTCCTTTAGCACTAGGTAATAGCGATCTGAAGCTCAAGTGTTTATTTATGTTTATACATCGAAATAATGTCACGTAGAAATTAGTTTTATTTGAATGAGTTTGTCTTCTCAAAACAGAGGACTTATATTACAATTAAACCACAATCGAACAAAATGTTCTGAATATTATAATTCTTATTTTATCATTATTATATAAAGCAAATATAAAGTATTCTTTACATTTTCGAGAAAATGGCGTGACTTGTGCTTAATTTGACTAATACAAAATTTGTGATCAACATGGATAATACTAGTGACAGCACAAAGCAAAAGTAGTTACAGCGTATTACCAATGCAAGAAAAAAAGTAAAGGGTCAAGTTAGGCATCGAACCCACGACCATAGGTCGTCCTTTCCCGAGAAAGTCACTGCGCCACGAAGACTTATATCCCGTGTTGGCAATATAACGTTATAACTTGCAAAGATTTAACGAAAAAAATGAAGTATAGAGTATATTTTTGTATAACATTCAAATAATTTTAAATACAATTCATTGAAATTACGTCATAAAATTGTTGGTGGAATTGATTAACCAAATTTTGGATAGTATTTAACCATCTACATGATATTTCTAATATACATACAAAATATGACAACAATCGCTCCAGCAGTTCCGGAGATTACGTATTTAATTAAAATGGATACAGACACTAGATAGACAGACAGACAGACAGAAACAGGAGATTACTTTTTCGTACTGTAGGGGTCATGAAACGTCGAGAAAACATAAAAGTGGCCATTCGCCCGATGGACTCGATTACTATACTTCTTTAGCTTACGCTTGGGAAGTAATAAAATACAAGCTGTTTCTTAATAAAACAACTGACATTTTGCAAATATACACGGTGTGTAAATAAATACAAATGTTGCTTCATTTTTTTTTTCTTTTTTATTCTTAACGATAAACCTGTAATTCCTTGAGCAAATTTATATTATTTTAAAAGATCTACTCACACACTCCCATTTTTATTATCACTTCCGGTAGAACCAGAAATGACGTCAATTTTTTTTTATGGAACACTAGGTATATTTTTTCATAAATGGAAAGATTGATTTTTTCTAAAAAATCAAAAGCAACCAATATTCTAAAATCAATACTTAAAAAGTTATTCAATAAAATAGACGAAAAATTCATATTTAGTTTATTCATGACAATAATCTAGTAGCTTGAAAAATTGACACTCATGTCATTTATTCACATAAGCGATCTTTTAAAATGATACAAACTTGCTCAAAGAACTATATGTTAATCTTTAAAAATAAAAAAAGTTACAGGGGTTGTATCAAATAAAAGAAACACGTGGTATATGGTATTCCATCTAAAAAATACAATTTTGATATATCAAACTTTACATGGAACACTAGTATATCGAAAAATAAATCAAAATTACAGTTTTAAATAAATTCTATTAATGGTTGTGAAAGACTTTTTCTGATTTTTTTCTATCGCCACCAATTTTTCACAACTTTTCTAACAAACAACTAAAGATATCAAATTTTTAGTTAAAAAAAGTTTGACAATTCAATGTTAACACGAACAAGATATATAGAAAACGATTTTAATTTTTTAAATTTCAAAACCCGGAATTTTTTGGAAATTTTAATTTCATGTTTCAAACGTATGTTGCAAAAAACTAAAATGATCGCTAACAAAGCTTCCAGACCTATGTGGAAACAAATTTCAGAGATCCAAATCATTTTGAATCACAAATTTTAACGATTTCAGGTTTATCCAAATTGCAAACCTTCAAGATTTTCTCTTCACCAAAATGTCTTGAATACATACCCGTACTCCCATTAATGTAAATCTGCAAATCCTTCAAACACGTGATAGACACAGAATGAATCCCAGCTGAATGCGTCGCAAAATACCGTCCAGGTCTGGATTCATCCTTATGTAAAAAAATCGGACAAGTGTATGCGTTGTCTTCCGTTGTAGTCGACAACCCCAACTCCAATTCTATACTTTCAAAGCACAGTAGCTCTTTTTGGGGGGTATTTGGAGTTTCACTTTTCAACTAAAAAAGTTCAACGTTTACCAAAAATTATGCACCATTTTTCGTATACCTTCGCGTATTCTTCCTCTTCAATCGGCAGTAAAGTCGAATGATAAATCGTACCGTTGGAATTAGCAATGCACACAACTTCCGGATTTGTATTTAGACAAATAATTGAACAGGCTTCTTCTTGTGGGTCCTGTCGGGTGTTTCTTGGAAGAGGACCAGTAACTGTTGGTTTAGTTCTGGAATAATAAAATACTGTATTTGACAGAAAACCCAAAATCAGAATAATCCCACTTTTGATCTGCGGGTATATTAATTGTGTAGACGCTTCCATCCCCTCGTAAAACATACACCGGCCATACCAAACTGGAGAAATTTTTTTCTTTGATGAAAAGCGATTTCGTGTCTAGGTCGAGCTCTGGCTGCCCGAAGTCAAAATCGACTCCCACTTCGCCAAAAGCGGCAAGATATGATGTTTTAGTTCCGGGGAATACACCAAGTGGTGTCTCTCCTATTTGGTAAGCGGCCAAACTAATTGCTGTGGAGTTCTCGATGGCGTATAACCTAAAGTAAAAATTATATAGTAACGTTCTGGCTGGGTAGGATACTCACCTGAGGGTGTTGTCGGATGTAAGAACCAAAATGTGAGCATTTTTGGGACTACCGGGATGAAAACGGACTCGTCGGACTTTAATCACTTCGCTGCAGAACAACAAACGTTCGTCTAAGCTGTGACTCCTGAAAAAAAGTTATTTTTTTTTATATTAAAGTTGACAAAACAAATTCAGTAAAAATAGCGCTGCATTTATCTAGCTAAGTTATATTTTTTTGTTTTCTTAATTAAACACCTAGGGCGCTCCATTTTCCATATAATAAAAATTTTGTAATTAAATTCTGCTCCTTTGGCTCTCGACGATTAAAAAAAAATCATCACAATTGGGATAGGGCGGGTGGACGGGGCTTATATTTTGCCTTTTTTCTTAATATACGTAGTTGTCTTTTCAGAAGAAGAAACTTAAAACATATTTACAATGGTAAATTCCTGTAAACAAGCATGGATCTGGCAATTAAGCCCCTCCCCCCCCCTCGATCTGAAAACGAATGAAAAAATCATCACAATTGAGAATTGTGATCGGGGCGGGTATGGGTGCAGCCTAATCTTTGGCTTTATTTTTTTCTTAATATACATAGTATTCTTTGAACAACACGATACTCAAAAAGATTTTTAATTTCTCGTAGAGACATAAGGATTTTGCATTTAAGCTCCGCCTTCTTGGCTCACGACGAATAAGAAAAAATCATCACAATTCCTATAGGGCGGGTGGGCGGGGCTATATTTTGCCTTTTTTTAATATGTGTAGACTTATTTCGACAACAAGAAACTTAAAACATGATATTTCAAACAATTTTCATGAGAATGCAGAGGTATAATGATAATAGACATCGCTTTCTGTTATTAACAAGCGACATTTTTGTAGCAAAAAACATCAACTCGAAGCCAGAAATTCATTTTCGTATAGTAAAATTATGACTCCCAAACGAAACTCACTACAAAAATTCTCGACTAATGTAAAACTTATTTATCATAGCGCTTGAGATTTGATTCATTTTGAAATTTCAAATTGCGCGCGGATGGTACACTTTTCTTCGCGTAGATTTAGTGACTTTTCTAGGAGAAATCGGGTGAATGGTCAGGCTATGCCTGCGTTTCTAGTGAGTTTTCCTATTGGACAATCGGAACATTTTCAATGTTCGTGTCAATTTCGACACACGCAGTATAATATTAATATATAATAAAAGCGGAAACGACGCCGGGGACCGAACCACGGACCGTACCTTTGTAAAGCCGAAGGACAGGTCTATGAGTCAGGCTTACGTAGCTAAGTATTATGTGAATGAAGAAGGTATGCAATAAAAATTATAACAACTATAAGAAACAAAAACAAGGCGGATTCATAAAGCACAAGTACAGGAGAATATTATTTTATAAATAATCGAACACTGCAGTTTCAGAGATTATCTGTCTAAAAAAAAATCGACACAGACGACAGACAGACGGAAACGGGAGACCCATTTTTTCGTACATTAGGGGCTTTGGGATTGCCTTGTCTATTAAGCACATAATCAGTCCAAAAAGCTTGTAGTCATCTGGTGTATCAACTTTTTTATTTGATATTTTGCGCTATTTTTATTTTTCTAGTCTTACGAAGTTGGAATGACTTTAAGTTGCATTCCTATTTACTGTATGAAATCTCTAATAAATATTGGTGTACTACTAAAGTTTAAATTTATTCTAACTGAATTAAATAATTATGCTGCTGTGGTTCTAATCCAGCATAGTATGATTAAAATAACTATACACAGTTACACAGATTTGAATTTGAGTTCAAAATTTAATTTGAATTAAACAACCCAGACACAAACATTAAACTAATTAGCCCAACTTATTACTCCTAAAAAATAAATAAATATATAAAAACACGCATTTATTATTTAGAAACGTCACAAAATTAATTGAAAAAAGAACTCGTGGTGGTCAAGCAATTCAGGCTTGGGTCGGACCGGGTTTGAAACTATACAAACTCATACAAAGCGTTTTGTTCCCGAAATAAACTTTGTCAGGTTTTGGAAGCGTTTTTGGCTATTTTTTCCAGTTATAACTAAATTATTTTGATAATTGTTTAGATTCTAACAATTTAGCTAAAAATGTTTAAGAGAAAACTTAGGTGGTTTATTAAAAAATATGTAGATGTTATGACTACAACTTTTTCAGTAGTTTATTTAGTTAGTGCGTATTATGGTTTGCTATATTTTTGTATTTCTTTGTGTTCACAGTGCAACGCCTCAGCCAGAAAGCAAGAAAAGCGATTTAAATAAATAAATTAGTAAACAAAACCAAATCTCACCCCCTCCTCCAACCAATTTAGCGTTTACGCAGCCTAAAAGCCCCACTTACCATTATGTTTGTTTAATTAAATACACCCATAAAGGCACACGGCGAAATAACAATTAAAAATCTAGCATCAGTGAGTCGAGAAGTCTTAAATTTAATACGGAACTTCATGATAATAATAAGCCGGCTTGGAAACGTCGTACCGGCGACGTCAGGCGTCGCGAGGCGTCCAAGACGAAGACGTCGCGTGCCGCCGTGGACGCCGTCGACGAACGCCGCATATTAATTATGCTACGTAACCTTCTAATAAATGTCCGGACAGTAATGAAAAGAAATTCTAATTAGGAAAATAAGAGTCGGCGGTGGTAAACTAGAGGATTTATGATTTTTATTCCCGCCGTTCGCCCGAAATGGTAATGCGACATGTTTTTACATCAGCGGTAATGGATAAGTTGGGTTAAGTGTCGAGGAAACTTCTGCGGATATTATGCCGATATAAATAAGCTTCGACCTCGGGAGGGACACGCACAGAGGCGGCCTGGCCGCAATTGTCTGGAGACGCGGTCAGATTTTACTCATTAGTGGGGTGGCGCAGTCGGTGGGATAACCTGAACCACATTAACGCTTTTTATAAAAATAACAATAACAGTATTAACTTTTAATACGCACATGGTGACTGTGTAATAATTACTTATCATTTTAAAACTTGACAGATACCAGACGGCCTTTAAAATACACCTATTATTCAAATTTACATGTAATCGTCCACAACCAAGCAATTCGATGGAATTTTCACGCGTAAGCACAATCACATAAACCGAAAACGCCAGGGATCATGTTCGACAAGCTATAAAACGCTTCAAAGCCTCTAAAAAATAATTAACTAACTCCGCTTTCCTGAAAAAAGCCGTAATCTGTTGACACTAGCCGCTATCGCTGTTCATTAAGTCAATAAAAACCGATGCATTTCCGATTGACTTTGAACCGCTTCGAGTGCTAATCCCTTACCCTCTTGCTAATTGTGGATGTGTGTGTGCGGATGTGCAAACGTTGAACCGTCGATTTTTTATCTGTCCCGACCAGCGCAGCGGTCGTGCTGAATGTGTATTTTTCCGTCTTTCCACGTTTTAGTGGTCCATCGGGAATGGCGATATACTCCTTTGAATTATTATATTTGGATACGTGGTCGATAACAGTTTTAATTTTTTGGTATTTGTTTTCGGGCCGTTGCGATATCCATTTTTACGACTCACACTGTCGAATGATTTATTCGTGCTGTGGTATTAATCGCCCGACCAGCGGATAAACATAGGGACAAGTTCGGAATGCGAAGATCGAACATGTTTGCACATTCGACCGACTGCACCAATTTCCAGGGAATACGCATTGCATCTCAAAGGCAATTAGATAATTTAGGTTTATCCCACCGACTGCGCCAATTTTAATGCTTAAAAATATATGATACTCCCTCTGTCCGAAAATATGGTATACATTTTACAAAAATATTATAATTAACGAGTGGTGACCAGCAAATTATAATCAAGTAATTTTGTTTGCAACTTGTATAATAATGGAACATCATATAAATAGTGGACTGAGATCTACGTTCGTTTCTGTTAAAAAAGCGACCAAGAAAATTACTACAATAACAACGAAAAAAATCGACACCCGCTGAATTTAAAAAATAAGTGATTTTAGAAAGAATAATTAAATTAAATAAATTATTTATTATAATAAATAATAATAATCTAATTTATTTATATATTTATTTATTTATTTAATTTTAAGTATAAAATCCTTTGACTGGCCGACAACCTCAGTGGCGTTTGATGCAATTCAGGGTTTATCTGATCAAGATCATCACGAAAATTGTGTAGTTGAACAGTCATTTCTAATTTTTAAGGAATTTTAACATCTAGGAGAACTCGTATAACTGAGGAAAACCTAGAAAAAGTAGTAATTATTATTAAGCATTCTCGAAGTTGTAGGCCAGACTGCAATAACGCTGGCGATCGGACGACAATCAGTCTGATAATAATTCATTCAAATTTTGACGTACTTTTTAACCATATCAGTTTTGACAACAGGAAGTAAGGTGGGGTGACAGGTCTATCAATTTCAAGCAAAATTCATTGATACCAATTGAAATAGTATTTGTTGATCAGGAATCCAGTTTTTACGAAAACTGATAAAATTTGATTTTGCAAAGTTTTATTTATATTAGGATAATCCCTACAAGGTAAACAGAGATAATACCATTCACAATGTAAAGAATCCATCTTCGAACTAACTCAATCGTAAGTATCTGATTTTATAAGCAAGATATCGACTACATCCATATTTGAAAACGTGGAAAATATTGCAGATTTTTTTTTCTAAAGTATCTATTTAATTGTGGTAAAATTCAAAGACGATTCATAAATCACGAGAAGAGGAATATATTATTTTATAAAATTTAGATAACCTTTACTATGCATAATGATAAGGGGGCGTCACCAAATTGTTGGTGGAGATGATTAGACAAATTATGATTAGAGTTTTACCATCTACACGATATTCCTAACATACCTACATAAAATTTGACAACAATCGGTCCAGTAGTTTCGGAGATGATCTATCAAATAACGATCAAGTTATTTAAAGTCATATGTACCCAGATAATGATATTACTGAGTAAATAAGCAAGTTTCAGGGGTGCGATGTAAAACTTTTTTACATATTTTAATATTCATATTCCTGTTAACAAAGATCTGATAAATTGCCAAACAAAACCCAAAATATAGAGTTGAAACAACAAAACGCATTTTTAAAGTCTCAAAGTTGTAAAATATTGAGAAGTTTTGAA